TCCTGGTTGCTGGGGGCGGAGCGGGGGCGGGGCGGCCCGCGGGGTGGGGGCAGAGCCCGGCCGCGCCTCTGGGAGTTCGAGCTCCCTAGGGCCCACGAGAGGGCTTGCGGGGGGCCAACTCTCTGGCGACTCGCCGCGGGCGCTATGCACTGTCTGTACCCGCAGCGCTCCGCGAACCACATTGCCTGGCGGGCCGGTCACCTGCGCTGGTTTAGTCATTCCGTTGGATCCTTCATTCGTTGGCCCTTCTTTCCTTCTGCTCTTCCTTCGTACTGGGGATTGAATCCGGGGAGCTCTACATCCCCAAACTTTTTATTTTTAATTTTAAGATAGAGTCTCGAAAAGTTGTCAAGACTGACTCAGCCTCCTACAGACAGGCATCACCGCGCCTGGCCATTCATTGCCACTTTCTAGCTATGTGACCTTGCGCCTGCCAGTTGACCTCATTGAGCTTCAGTTTCCTCATGTGTAAATCTGGAATTCTGTCTGCCTCTTAGTGGTCTCGTAGTGGTTGTGTTGTCAAGCTTGGAAGAGACTGTCTTAAACTATCTGGCACACAGTAGGGGCCTTGACTCCCTTGATGTACTAGTTATATTAAAGAGGGGAGGAGAAGGCCTCAACAGAGCAAATTCCAGACATGTATTTTGACCCTGTTATGGTACCGGAGCTGTCTGAGGAAAGGGTCCCACTTCTGGGGTGGGCCAGGAAGGAGGGTGCTGTAGGTTGAGGGATTGCTAAGAGGCCTGGTAGATAATCTCTGAAATTTTTTGGCAAGTGTCCCTCAGAGCTGGCCTGAACATGTGTAACCTGGGGGGCCTGATGGAGGTGGAGCATCTTGGGCTGGGAATGGTGCGTTGGAAAGTGGGGCTGGAGAGGTGAAAGGGCTGCCTTTGCCCTGGCTCTGGGCCATCTGATTGTTAGCTGAGGCTCCTTCTGTACTGCTCCTTTCTTAAAAGAATCTGGTCCTTGTAGTTCCTGAGCTGCACAAGGAGAGGGGACAGATGTGTGCAGTGAGAGAAGAGGACAGGTGGACATGCCAAAGGGCAGAGCAAGTTCAGGAGCAAAACCACCCAGGCTTCCTCCTTCAAATCAAAAGTCAGGGCGGCTTGAGTCACAGAAGAGGCAGGCCTGAGGCCACGGGTGCCAAGAATCAGGAGGCTGCTGGAAGGACTGGGCTCCAGGTAGGATTAGGAAGAGGATGTGAGGTCATCTGGGGAAAGGGGAAAGGTGTCATTTAGTTTAGAGCTTGAAGGACCTTAGAAATAGAGTCTGGAAAGATCTGGGGAGGAGAGACCCAGAGAGGGTTGGGACTTTCCCAAAATCACACCGCAGGCTAGGACAAAAACCCAGATCATCTGGCTCCCAGCCTGGGGATCTTGTTGCAGCCACACCTTAGCATCAGGAAAATGCATTTTTTTTTTTTTTTTTTTTGCAATGGGGCGCTTAACCACTGAGCCACATCCCCAGCCCTTTTTATATTTTATTTTGAGACAGGGTTTCACTAAATTGTTTAGGGCCTCGTTAAATTGCTGAGGCTGACTTTGAACTCACAATCCTCCTACCTCAGCCTCCTAAGTGGCTGGGATTACAGGTGTGGATCAGGAAAGTGCTTCTTTCCTGCAAAATCAGAGTCAAGCCTGACAGCCCCTTTTGCACAAGCTGTTCTTCCCTGTTCTTGCTCCTGACCAGCTCTGCCCTCTCCTCACCCTCCTCCAGCTCAGCCCCTACTCCCCATCCTGCTCTGCAAGGGCAGGAAGGAAGACAGTGTCCTTGGCTTTGGGGTCTGTCTAGGAGATTCAAGTTGTGTACTCAGGAGTGCCTGGTGGTCTCTCCAACCTCCCTGAGGCTGAGTAAGACCCCACCAGGTCAGGATGAACAGAGACCCCAAGGGCCAGCTAAGGTTCTGCAGCCCAACTGAGTCACTGAGTCATTTATCCGAATTCAGGAACACCTCCCAAAGACAGCAGTCCCATTGTCCCTTCCTTTATAGCCTCAGATAAACACCCTGGATTACCAAAGAAAGGACACAGAATGGGGGACTTGAGAGCTACTTTGTAATATTCTGAGCCTTGATTTCCTTATCACAAAATGGGAACAGTGAAAACCTACCTTATAGATCGTGATGTCAAATAGCATCACTGTGGGAAGCTCTTGGGGGTGTCTGGAGATTGTAAGCCCTAAGATTCTGACCTTTTCCTCTCTAACCTGAAGGTCATGTGCCATGTGCGCAGTCTCTAGTAAATGAAGGCAGTCCTCACAAGATGAAGGCCTTGGGAGGCCCCACGTGGTGTTTTCATTAGCACCACAGTCTTGGAGAGAAGTGGTGTTTTGACTGCAAGGCACAGCGAATCAAGCAGAGAACAGAAGAGCCTGTCCTTCTGTGGGTTTCCTGGGTGGAGTTAACAAAGACAAGTAGTATAGAAAAGCCCAAAGCTGATTATACCCTCCCCCACCCTAGCTATGCACATGCTTCCAAGGGGGTGTACACCCTCCCCCTCCTCCACCTGCCCCAGATTACTTTTCACTTCCTGGGAAGGCAAGGTAAAGGGTCAGCTCTTTGAACCTTGGTTGGTTATGTTATGGTTATTAATAATAATATCACTCCCACTAATGAGGTCACACGTGCTATTTACAAATCTTTTCCCTTCCTCAGAGGACTCTCTCTCACCCCAGAGGAAAGGTGGTGGGGGTAATCATCTTAGAGGCAGAAAAACAGAGAAGTGTGGTGCTTTGTCTAAAGACACACAGCAGTGCTTCCCTCCATCCTTTCAGACCCAGCTATAGAAATTGCCTCCTTCTGGGAGGCCCCCACACTCCTACTGATGAACCCACCGCCCCCCCCCCAACAGAGGTATATCTCAGTATTGGAGGATGGTGAGGCAAGGAGCTCCTACGTGGAGCTTGGCCCAGTGTCAGCCTCTTAATAGACATTATCTCATTTAATTCTTACAAACAGATGAGGCAGGCATTTGTAAAAACAGGCAGAATTTGGCCTATGAGCTGTGTGACTTCAGCAAGCCTCTTAACCTCAGTTGGCTCTTCAGACAAGAAGGCACCGTTTCCACATGTCGGGCTCCCATTCCTTCACTTCTTGTAGTGCAAGCTGTAGAGGAGGGGAGTCAACTTGTTGGTCCACACAGCCCAGAAATGGAAGATCTCGGATTTTCTCAGGACTTTGACTCCAAGCCCCTCTAAGAGAAAAGCTCAGGTGCTATTGGTGGCCAGGAGCCCTGTGCCTCTTAAGCAAGCAGAGAGTGCAACTGGGCAGTGCTGATGGCTGTCAGCCTGGGCTCAGGCCCTTAGGAGTCTAGGATACACAGGACCTAGGGGGGTGCAAGGAGGGGACCAGATGGGCCAAGGTGGGCCACTTTCCAGATCAGAGCTTGCTTGTGCAGAGAGGCGGGGGGGGGAGCAACCTGCTGCTGTGTCTGGGGGAGCAGGGAGTAGGGAGCCTCCCACACACTGAAGGAACCCCACCCCCACTCAGAGGAAATCAGTGGCTCAAAAGGGAATCTCAAAGGCTCAGAAAGCAGGGAGGGCTTTCTGGAGGACCATGTGGCCTACTGGCTCCGGAAAGCTGTACACAATGGCCTTTCTGCAGAGGAGGGAAGCCATCTCTAATTCCTAGCCAGGGTGGCTTGATCTGCCTTCTCTCCTTCCCATCCTTCCCGCCACTAAATATTAAGGACCCCAAGCTTTATGGGGTATCACAGTGAACGAGCTGTCTTCCGGTTCAGCTAGAGAGAGCCAGACCTAAAGCAGACCACTGCGCTCCTGTTCTCGAGGCAGTGGGTGCTGTTCGCTGTTCCATCCATCCCAGAGGCCAGCCATCGGAGGGTCTGTCTGGCTGTTGGAGGCAGTAGGCAGTACCCCTCCCTACTTCCAAAGAGGTCTTTCTGGTACCCACGTCTGACCCCATCACCCCCAGCTCAGGTCTCCTGTGTCTCCCACTCTGACTCTGCATGTCTTCTGCTTGTCCCTGCCCAGCCAGCCTAGCACAGCAGCCCCCCAGAGCCGCCTAACTTTCCTGTGGGTCACACTTCCACCCTTTGTTAGATACACTCCCTTGTCCCCCTGGGGGCCAGGGCTACTGGTGAGCTTTCTTTACTAACTCCTGTTGGCCTCCTGCAGGAAGCCTTCCTTGTCCCTTCTGAAGCCCCACAGCCTTCCATGCCCACTTCCATTTGGCCTCAGCTCTTGGCTTCCCTACCAGGGGGGACCTCCAGAGCAAGGTCTGCCTCCAGGGGACAGGCTGACCAGGGCTAAGGTTATATCTGAGTTTAGTTTGGCAGTGGAGGAAGGCCCTGCACATCTGAAAGAGAAGAAAAACGGAAAAACCCAA